CTTTGCGTTGTCTTTTGGCCGTCCGTTTCCTTACCTTTGACTTCAGCTTTGGGCCACAACCTTTTGGCCAATCTTGTACACATGGTGGCCGGTAAATAGGACTAGATGGCGTCTCCAACATATTTTCTAACCAAATATCGAGATCATCGCCATCATCATTGTCGGACTCACCGGGGTGGATGACCACTTCCGTATCACGCGCGCTGGCGCGTTGCTGCGGTGCCGCTGGGCGTTACCGAGTCGCAGGCGTGCACTGGGCGTCGCTGCGTGCGACCACTGAACGCGTACTGGACTGGCTGGACGTTCGGCGTACGCACTACTGATTGCTGGCTGCTACCGCGAGTGGCTAAGTGCCGCGTCTCGCGGGCAGGCGCATGCACTGGCAGTCGTCGCTGCCTGTCTGCCAACACGCTGCTGCCGCTACGTGCGGCAGCGCGTCCATAACCAGCTTTCACCGTCCATCCGGTGAATACCTTCGGCACTATGACATCAAACAACATGACATGACTTAATATGAACATGGTTTTGGAAATAACTTGAAAATGGCACTTTTCGCACGATTCAACTGAAAGGGACCGAGGCGAGCGCGCCGTGCGCCGCCGACGGCGATAGGCCATCACCCGACCGATTCAACTTATCCCTCGGCAACTCAAGACTGATTCAACATGAAATATCATTATGAACCTATCAAGACATAAATCACACGGATGAACTTAATCGAAACTGAAAATATCTTAACATGGCATGTTGTAGGTCGTGGCCGTGCGCGATGTGCGCTGCCAACAGCCGAGAGCCAATTCATGAATAAAACACCATATTTCCTTGACCAACATGGACCAACTGAGCATGAAATGATCTAAACTGAACAAATAAACATGAATTGTACGAGATTTGTCGGGTAAAACAAGAAGTTACTCGATCCCAACTTGATTTAGACATAATCGAACTTAACACGGCAATACTAGGAATTCTTGAACATGACTCGAACACTTTAACCTAAAATGAATTTACGGCCATAAAAATAAGTCGAGGATGACTATACCTTCTCAAGTACTCGTCGGAATTTGCAAACCGATCGTGACCTCCGTTAGTCCTCGCGTGTGCGCCCGTGTGTTTGCTTGAACTTGCCGTGCGTTAGTGAGGGGAAAATTAAGGGACAGATTGAACTTATTTGCTGCTGAATATAAGGCTGAAGATACTAATATATGGCTGATGAATATAAGCTACTAAGGGTGGGAAAAATTTCCAAATTCAGATGATATATATAGAGGGCCGAAATGATGGTACATAGTTGGGGTGATGATGCTCATAGGACGTGGCTCTTTCTTAAGCCTACACTTGCTTCTAATTGAGAAATTTTTGGATGACTAATCCTCCTCCCCACTCTCCTCATAATGCCACGTGTGGAGTTAAAATGTGGAAGGAAATTATTCCCTTCAAACTTAGGAAAACTTTTGGGAAATATAATTTCCCGTACGGTTTTGCATGCATTAGAAGCAATTTGGACGGCCTCCTAATGCAATGGATTAATGCTAATTAATCATCTCTTATGTTTAATTATTTAATTAAACATAATGCTTAATTACCAAAATTATTCCGAACGTAAATAGTACGTCGAAAATAAATTTCGGTAATCTCGACTGAAAATAATCAATTCCGAAAATAATAATCGATAACGTTATTATATCGGAACTAAAACATAATTTATACTAATAAAATGTTGGGATATTACACGATCGTAAATCAATCTTTGAAAATACACAGGCTCCCCTCAACTGATCAAATAAGTCGTCGATCCTGGGAAGCGGATATTTGTTTTTGATCGTCATCCGGTTAAGATCCCGGTAGTCGATACACATGCGCATGGATCTGTCCTTCTTCTTAACAAAGAGAACGGGTGCTCCCCAAGGTGACACGCTCGGCCGGATGAAACCGAGTCGTAACAGCTCTTGAATCTGAGCCTTAAGCTCCTGCAACTCCTTTGGCGCCATACGGTATGGGGCTTTGGATACTGGACCGGCTCCTGGAATGAGGTCGATAGAGAACTCCACCTGCCGGTTAGGTGGCCCTCCTGGAAGCTCGTCTGGGAATACGTCCACGAACTCACGAACAACTGGAACATCGTGAGGTGATCGTGCTTTTTGAGAATCATCGACAAGGCTCACCAGATAACCCTGGCAGTTGCCTCGTCGCAGCAACTTAGTGGCTTTCGCCATCGAAACAACATGAGGCAATGAACGATTCCTAGAACCAAAGAAAGTGATCGACTCGTCTCCCGGAAGATAGAGAGTAATCTCCCGGTCATGACATCTGATATCTGCATGATAAAAGGATAGCCAATCCATTCCGAGAATAAGGTCGAAGTCCCTCATCTCGAGAACAAACGCGTCGGTAGACAATACTCGGCCACCGATGGAAAGGCTAAGGTCTGAAGCTTTAGCTGAGGTCACTATCTTTCGCCCCGAGGCTAAACTCACCTCCAGAGGATCGACAGCGGTAACGGCATGAACTCCGATGGCATCAAGACATCGTCGTGAAATGAATGAATGCGTTGCTCTAGTGTCGAACAGAGCGAAAACAGGAATATCATTAAGCACAACCATCCCTAACATCGTACCTGGCTGCTGTGCTGCCTCGGCCTGATCAACTGCATAGACTCGGGCCTGTTGTCTGCCCCTCTGCTGCTGTTGCTATGGCGGCCTCCGGGCCTGCTGACGTGGCTGCTGCTGCTGCGGCGGCTGCTGAGGCTGTTGGGGCTGCTGCTGAAGTCTCTTCGGACAGCGACTCACAAACTGTCCTGGCTCATGACAGTAGTAGCAAATGTCCTGACCCATATGGCACTCTCCACGGTGAAGTCGTCCGCAGGTCGGGCACGGTGGAACCTGCTGCTGTCTCTGTCGCGTCCTCCTGTCAGTCTGAGCACCCTTCCCCTTCCTCTTCTTCTCCTTTGCCGGCTGAGCAGCTGGTAGGGCTGGTGGAGCTGTGAATGGCTGGACTGGGGCGGATGGCTGGGCACGATCACGAACGGCCTCCCTCCTGATGCTGGCGTCCACCTCCTGGGCAATAGAAACTGCACGAGCGTAGGTCTGAGTCCCATGTCCCACAATGTTATGACGGACTGCTGGGTAAAGCCCGTCGATGAACCGTTGTGCTCTCTGGGCCTCCGTGCGAACAAGGTCCGGAACGAAAGCTGCAAGTCTAGTAAACTCTCTCTCGTACTCATCAACTGTACGAGTGCCCTGCTGGAGCGATAAGAACTGACGTTCCATCTCTGCCCGATAATAAGTGGGGTAGTACTTCTCGCGGACTAGCTCCTTGAGCATATCCCACGTACATCCCGCCTTCTCACCGGGACGCATGCTCCAGTAGGCATTCCACCAGAGCCTAGCATCGCCAGTGAGGTGAAGCTGAGCGCAGACTATGCGATATCTATCAGGACAATCCATGACCTCGAAGATAAACTCCAGGCCCTGAATCCATTCGTCTACGATTCGGGGATCTCACTGCCCTGAGAATTTTTCAGCGTGATAGTCGCGGAACTGTGCGACTACTGTGGCCTGAGTAGGAGCCGGGTGATCGGGTTCCCTACGGGGCGGCATCTGATCATTGAGAAAGTTTGACATTATTGAACACGTGATAATATTCTGACTGATTACTAAGGCACACAGATCTCTTGACGAGTTGCCAAAATTGGCCGATAAATACTGACATGAATCCTGAGAAACTCTAGAGTCATATCGGAAGATACAAAATTCTAGAGTCATGAATATACTGAATTCTAGAGTCATATCTGAACTCTAAAGTCTGAACCTGATTCGAGCATCTTAACTAAGTCCTGATCCATAATTCTGAGCATAGACACAGTAATATGTTTATAACTGAAAACATAAATCAGCACTTACCTGTAGTCGGAGGGGCGTGAGCATGACGGTTCAGGTTTTTCTTTCTGAAAATTACTAACTGAAAAACTTTTCAGAGACGCAGAAATGTACTCTGATACCAATTATAACACCCCGCCTTATCGTGAAATCAGAGTGCGAAAATTTTGCAAAGTTATTTAAAAATAAAATCTTTTACTTTGCGAAAGCTGATTCGGGGTGCTACCGTAAAACGTGACTTATTTTGGAAAATCGTTATTTTAATTTTTAGCAAAATCATACGGTTTACTGAAAGCATAAATTTTTCAAAAAGTCTGGTCAAAACATAAGTTCATCAACGTCAAAGTCAGCGGAAACGTAAAATCGTCATAATATATACAATCATATCATAAAAGTCCTAAAGCATCCGTCATCTCACGCTCCCGGCCCGACATCCTGACCTGAAAAACATGATAAAAGTGGGAAGTGAGCACTATGACATTGTGCTCCGTGGAAACTAATACTAATGTAAACATTGAAAATAATAACAACATCATGATCTTGGCATATACATAACCTGAACATGAAACCGGTAATAACATGAACATGAATCTGATATCATCACGTGAACGTGAACCATGACCGTTACCTCATCTGTCGGCACAAACTAATGTCGGACACCATGTGCACACTCTAGTGGGCAGACTAGGGCCACTAGAACCCAGAATGGACCGGCGACCATTCCGAGCGGATACATGACATGAAATACATACCTCAAACATGGTAATTATAATCAATGTAGTACTTAGTCTGAGTCCCCACCTGATCCTTGAAACTGAAGGTAGTGCTGATGCCTGATCAAACTGAAATATAATATAAACAATTACTACTGACTATGCTGAGACTGATGAATTAACTGATTAACTATGTTAAGATGCTCTACTGAACGTGACATAATATTTGGACTTAACCGGTATAATCGGAACTGATCTGACATGAACTGATCTGAACTGAATTGAACCCAGAATATAAACTGAAAATGCCATTAAAATTGTGAACCGGGCTGAAACCATAACGTACGGACCGAACCGGTAAAAATGGGACTGAACCAGTCCAGCCGGTCTGAACCGGTCTGGACCGGACTGTCGGTCGGCTGAACCGGGCAGTCGGTGTTGGCTCGGCCAGCAGCCTGCTGAGGCTGCGCGCGCTGGTGCT